TTAGCCATATTACTATGACACAAAACACGTGTTTTGATGTAAATAAACAATCTGTTGTATACGCCACTTGGAACTCAAATTTCAAGGACACGCTCGCGACAACCCCTCCGCTTTAATATGACGAGCACAAAGAGAACTTAACGGGGACTGTGTCATTTTCAATGACTTGTTAAAAATGCTACGTTTTCATTGGTTGATTGGTATTTCGTGTAGCACTGTTAATTCAGATGATAACTTGACAGTATTGGAGGTTCATGTACAAACATACAAACAATATAGTGTGTGAATCAGACATATCCAATCTTTCCACACATTTAATTAAAATATCCTCGTTATATTCATCCAAGACAATTACATTTGTAGTTTTAAATTATCGCACAATAATGTAAAGCTCATTCTAATGTAAAGCTCATTAAGTAATTCACTTGAAAAAAGCCCCTTAATTTTTTTAATTAAGATGGTGACGATTTATAACAACAATAATGAATCCCCCAGGATCATATTGGATTTGGAGAAGTGTTATGACGCAATATGTTTGCCTCACACATTATTAAGTCCATTATTGTCCATGGATTTCCATTATTGTGTCATCCTTTATTTTCTAAATATAAAGTACATATATACATTGCAGTAGTGTTTTTCAGTTTGCTACACGAGTTTTGACAAAATGCATGATTTTTTCATTTTCCTCTATTTGCGAAGTGGTCTATGTTGGAAATTACAATGTAGCATTGGTCATTATGGCTAAAACTGTTTTACAGCTAGTGGAATCCTAGCATGCAGATTAAAACACTGGTAATGCTAATTCACATCCACATTACATCTATATCTCTACCACACAGGATGGCAAATCTGGTAAAACAGCTTTACATTTTGCGGCGGAGCGAGGGCTTGGAGAGTTGATGACAATTCTACTCAGCTGGCAAGATGAACAGCGAGAGTTGGTGAACTATCCCATGTACAATGGAAACACTACATTACATTTAGTTGTCGGTAGTAACCGACCAGAGCATGAAATCCTAAAATTAGTAGAAATACTATATCGTCATGGTGCAGATCCAAGCATTGAGAATGCAGAGAAAGAGAAAGCCATCGCGTGCTCTAACAAAAAACACAAAAAGGTATGTTGTTTTAGGCTTGTATCATTGAATGGTGAGTCTTACATATAGTTGCATTAAGTTGTGTAGTGTAGTATAGAGAGTAGAGATTCATGTGTACCGGGTAGTGTAATTATAATGCAGTTATTATGATGTAGTGTTGTACTGTAATGCAGCATAGCATAGCATAGTGTAGTGTAGTGTAGTGTAGTGTAGTGTAGTGTAGTGTAGTGTAGTGTAGTGTAGTGGAGTGGAGTGGAGTGGAGTGTAGTGGAGT